AGCCTTAAAATATAGACATTCCAGTCATTTTTCTACCTAAATTTCTGCTTTAATTAAGTCAGTTTGGTCTGGCACTACTTAAAGTGAAATAGTAGACCTTTCCTCTGCTTTGGGCTCTGCAGATTGAAAGTGGAGATAGGGCTGCTGCAGGGCCCTGTGGTGGACACTGGGCCTGGAATGTTAATTCTCTCAGCCTCCTGGTAGGCCGCGCATACCCCAGGCTGGTTTTGAAATCACCAGCTCAGTCTTGGGCTTCACACCTCCATAGAAGGCTTTGTCTCGTCTTTTGAAAGAAAATCTGGAGGATATTAGATTTGCTTTTCTCAGGTATCTATTCTAATCTAAAAAATCTTTCGAGAACTCTGGGTCCTGGATTCTGGAGTTACGTGGGGAGGTCAGCCTGTGGGTCTGATCTGAGGCCAACAGTCAGTGTCACTGGAGCAGAACCACGCACTGCCCTCCGTCGTTTTAAAAAGTACAGACCTTTCCTTGGCTGCTGACATTGTGAATTTGGAGCAGAACTTTTCTTTGGAGGAGGTGGGGCCTAGCACAACTCACCTGTTGCCCCTGTGTCCTTTCACTGGTCCACTGGGGTGGGTCACTTCTGACTCTTCCTCTGCCTCCCTCAAGGTCAAGCTCAGGTGTGTCCTGAGAACCCGAAAACCGCAACCTTGGCAACCCGCCCCCAAGGAAGGCCCCCCCCCCCCCAAGGGCCAAACCCCCCCCCCTCAACCAAAACCAAGGTAGTTGCCCAGGCAGCCACCCAAGCCCTTTGTGTTTCTGCCTCCAGTGTCCGGCACAGTGAGCATGGTCACTGATAAAATCATTGAAGTCGGTACACACAGTCATGTCCTTAAAATGAACAGCGGTGACCAAGATGCAGGAGTGGAAAATGGCCACACACCCTCTTGGGGAAAGGAGTGAATGAGGCAGAACTGGCAGTTCATAGCTTCCTGGCTTGGGTGTGGGGTCTCACCGAGGGGGCTCTTTATACCTCCAGTTTCTGTTCTCGTCTCTGCATTGAGAATGCCCTTGCTGAGCTCCCCAAGTCTCTGTGGTCAAGCAGGGAAAACTTTTATAACTTCACCTTAGTGGACCCCAGCTGTGCATTGATGAGCGTGTTTTGTTGCCCCCGGTGACTGCCTTTTCTCCCGTGACTCCACTGTCTGGAATCTGACTACATTTCCTCACCATTCTTTTTCCCTCTATGGGCTCATTTTCCTCCTTTTTACTTAATTAGTGATGTTCTCTAAGATGAATTTCTCTACCCATTGTTTTCTTTTCTCGTAGTCTTCCTGGGTAAAGTTAATGGGTTTTGCTTGCTTCATGATGTTAATTCATCCAGTATTTATTAAGTATTTACTATGTGCCAAGTGCACCTTTTGACTTTGCCCTGGATAAATAATAGTAAATAAAAGAGAAAACCCCTGCTGATTTCCCCTACATATTTTCTTTGTAATATTCCTAGTTATTGATAGACCTTTATTTTATTTATTTATTTCTATGTAATGCTGAGAATCGAACCCGGGGCCTCACACATGCCAGGCCAGTGTGCTTCTGCTGAGCCCCAGCCCCAGCCCCTCCCAACTTATTTTTTAGGTCCCCACGCTGCAAACGTGTGTGTTTTCATCAGGATTTCCCCCTGGAGCCTCAGTTTTCATGTGTAAGCAGAGTTGGCTTCCACTCCCTAGTCCCACCAGATGATACCTTGCCACTCCCCAGTCCAAGCCCTGTCCTCTTCATAGCTGCCAGGTCAGGCCCACAGCCTCCCAGCCCAGCGAGGCCCTTTGAGCTGCTGTCAGCCACTTCCCGCAGGAAACGCTGGTGCTCTGGGAAAGCACTTTGTGGTTCATTCATAAGAGGTGATCTGAGTGGCTTGTAAAGCTCACCCTTTTTCTGGCTTCTGTGTCCTTCCACTTCTCTGATTCTCCTGCTTTGCTTGGACCCCGACTGCTTGCATTTTCTCTAGGCAGTTGGTGTCCCTGAGCCGGGCTGGTGCGGGCTGGTGCTGCGTCTCCCCACCTTGAACCTGTTATTGCCATTCAACTGGGAAATGGTTAAGCCTTCCTGAGTCCCCATGTCCTTAGAGTTGTGTAGGGATCTGTGTCAGATCTTGGATGGAAGAGTCTGTGCTGCGGGTGGCTGGCCTCCGTAGCCCTGGGCCAGGGATTCCCTGCACGGCTCAGCCCTGCCTGTGCCCTGGGCGAGAAGGCTCTGCTGAGGACTCCTGACCCTCCCTGATGGCCTTGGCCCTGAGGCTAGGACTGACTCACCAGACCAAAAATAAAATCTGGAATCTAGTTTTGAGCTGATTATGTTTGGTAAGATGCTTGCTTGAACAGGGAAGGTGGCTTATGACTCATTAGTCTACAACTACTGGTGATCTTTGAAAATTTTATCCTAGACATTTTGTATTATCTAAAATCTGACCTTTCACTTTTTAATGAACACTCTTGATGCACTAATGCTTCATCAGGACTAGCAGGCTCAGGTCTAAAAAATATCCTTGTTGTAAGGACACTTTGAAGTCCTAAAGTGTTGCTAAATCACTCTTATCCTTTGCCCTTACTACTAGTAAGTTAAAAGGAGCCGAGTGGGGTTAGCTGTTATGTTCATTTTCTGTGTGCACAATAGAAGTTTAGATGCTTAGGATGTAAAAATCTTAAATTGTATTATTTACTCCTGATCACTCTTAATTGTTAAAACTTTCCTGAAAGTTGGGAGGGGAGGGCGATTATTAGCCATCAGGATATTTTCTTAATGTTCTTCTGCATTTCCGTCAGGTCATTTAAAAAAATATTTTCAAAATTTAAAAAATTAGGATAGTAGTGTTTTAAACACGTGTGTTAAATACACAACAAAACCTTCTGCATTTGTGATAAACAGTAAATGAATAACCTTTATTCTCTGCTTATTCTTCACAGGGGAGTCCAATGGATCCAATGGTGATGAAGAGGCCCCAGTTGTATGGGATGAGCAGCAACCCTCATTCCCAGGCGCAGCAGAGCAGCCCATACCCAGGAGGCTCCTACGGTCCCCCCGGCGCACAGCGGTACCCCCTTGGCATGCAGGGCCGGGCCCCAGGGGCCCTGGGAGCCCTGCAGTACCCACAGCAGCAGGTGGGTGCTGGTTTTTCTCCCTGCCTCTCTTTTTTGCTCTTTGTCTTTTGTTGTCAACCTGAGATTTGTGTTAAGAGAATTAGGGGGCATTTCATTGATTTTTTTTTTTTTGGTACCAGGGATTGAACTCAGGGGCACTGAGCCACATCCCCAGCCCTGTTTTGCATTTTATTTAGACTGACTCGCTGATTTGCTTTAGTACCTCTCCATTGCCAACGCTTGCTTTGAATTCACTTTCCTCCTGCCTCAGCCTCCCCAGCTGCTGGGGTTACAGGAGTGCGCCGCTACAGCTCCCTACTCTTTTAGTTATCATTCTTGATGAAACAGTAAAAATCATTAATTTATCTTGACCTTTAAAATCAAGTTCTTGTAATGTTGAACTTTATACAACAAAGTAGACAAAAATCCCGGTTTTGTAGAAGGCCAGTAGTGCTGATTGTATTTGAAAGATGGACTGCATCAAAATTTTTCAGAAAATTATATAGATCTGAGCTCTATAAAGTAAACTTGGCATTGTTACATTTCTGAGGTCAGACTGTGTCAAATTCAGAGCTGTGAACAGATTTCCTTCTGGTGACCTTTCAAGTCATTCAAAAGGTCTTGTCCATGAAGATATTGCCAGCTTAATTTTTTTTTATTTCTTAATAAAGCATTTCCTGTATAAAGGTTTAAAAAAGGTTTCTGTATTTCATATGAGGATTTGATCTGTTGTCTTAGATCTTAATGAGTTTTACAGCAAAAGATCTAATTTTTGCATTTTTCTCCAGAATCAATGAAGTTAGGATAAATGACCAGTCACCTGGCAATCTAAACCTCCAGCCTCTCTGATACTCCTTATTATGTTGGCCCGAGGAGCATGAAATTGGGAAAAGACTAAAGTAGATTCAGACTTGTCAGGGTATTTAGTTTCTGGGAACCGCAGAAAGGGGTATTTCCAAATTGCTGTCCTGTGCCTGGTGCCCCCAGGGAGTGGGGAGGCTGATACCCTTGGGGTTTTGCTGTGCAGATTGGGGCATTCCAGGAGGCTGCCTGGAACCCATTCCAGGGCTTGACACCCTTCCTCTCAGGACATGCTTCCCTGTATTTGATCAAAAATCTGCTGGGGGCAGCGGGAGAAAAGCTGGACCGAACTAGTTTTCTCTCTACAGGAGGAAGGTGTCTCAGACTTCAGTGGTCCAGGGCTGGATACTAAAAGTTCACCAGTAAGTTGCCTCCCAGCCTTCCCTTTAAGGCTGAGTACTGTCTTTCCTCTTTATCTTTATGGAGGAAGATAAAAGGAGCTCAGTCTGCTGGAGTCCTAGCTGTTGATTCCTTAAACAACCTGTAGTTATTGTTTGAAGATTTCACTCTGCAGTTATTAAAGATCAGTTACTGGGAATGCTATCAATTCAGTTGAATACTGAACTGTACTCTTAATTTTCTCGACATTATTACTTTCTTCCAGCAATATTTTGCTTCTTAGAATCAAAGTCCTTAGTTGTGCTTGCTAATTGTGAGGGAGGTAATTTCTAAATGTGAAAAGTGATTGGGTTTCCGTGTCTCTGCAGCCCCCCAACTCCTGTTTTAATTTAGAGCTACTTTGCCTTTTTTTGAGGGGAAGAAGCCAACAGCTGTTTGTACTGGGACTGACAGTTCTGTGTAGCCTCTGGCCACTGGGGTGGCTGGGGAGGGGTGGGGAAGAGGCAGAGGGTTGTGAGGAGTGGCAGGGCTGCCTGACAGTGCCTACTGCCCTGTCCCTCTTGAGTCTGTGCCTTCTTTTTCCACCACTTCCCCTGAAGTGGCCTTGGAAAGTTATTTTCAAAGTCCTTTTTAGAAGTTTGAGACCTTGGCTTAGTTTGCAGAATCACAGTCAGTCACACATAGGGAGTGTGTGAAGCGTGATTATTAGGAAATTTCTTTTTATTATTTCCAAACAAAGAGGACCTACACAGATACATAGAGCAATCTCATTTGTCTTAGCTTCTTGGTTTCATTTAACAATTCTGACTTTTATATTTTAATAACCAAACAACTTTTAGATTTATTCGAAGGGGCAGATTGATGACGATTATCCTAGTATTTCAGCAAATAGTGGATCTGGAATTATAAAATGGGAAAGAGAAGGAAAGCAAAATGAGCCAGTTGTGGTGGTGTACCCCTGTAGTCTAGCTATTTGGGAGGTTGAGGAAGGAGGATTGCAAGTTTGAGGCCAGCCTTAGCAACTTAGTGACAGCCTTAGCAACTTAGTGAGACCCTTTTTTTTTTTTTTTTTAATTTTATTCATTTTATTGTTGATGGACCTTTATTTTTTATTTATATATGGTGCTGGGAATCAAACCAGTGCCTCACACTTTCGAGGCAAGCGCTCTACCACTGAGCCACAACCACCATCCCTCCTTAAAAAAAAGGAAAAGAAAAAAAAGGGCGGAGGATTCAGCTAAGTGGTAAAATGAAAATAAATAAGTAAATAAAAAGCAAAATGAGAGAGCTAAGTCCAAAAGTGGTTTATAATGGGAAAGCATGAATTTTTTAGTTTGTAGAAAGATCCATATTATGAATACCTTTACAACAAGTCTTAATTTTAATTAAGATTTTATATCAGGTATTTTACTGCTGCTGACCAGAAAGAAATGCTCAGATCTTTCTGATAGTGAAAGGAAAATAGTGGATCTGATAAGAAACTATCCTGGTGCAGTAATGCCCAGCTTTCAGATTGAATTGATCATAATCTAGGATCTAAATAATCTGTGCTGCTTTTTCACTCTTTCATGTAGTTATAATAGTTCTGAAACACATATTTTGTTTTGAAATTTAAAAGACTAAACTGGGTATACATTTTTGAAGGTGTGCAATATTTTAAAGAAGACATACAGCTTTTATAATACCAAGTAGATTTGAAATGGGAAGGAATTAGTGAGCAAGGTTGAGCAAAGGTTATTAGAGAACTCACTCGCATTTAATTTTGTTAGTTTTAGCCTGTGTTCTTTGAGGAATTTTCAATGGAGTTGCTGTTTGTAAATTTTGGAAGTTATGAATGTGTCCACAGACAAGGTCCTATCACTGATTGGCTGCTGGTCCTATCCTTCTTCTCCAAGGATTAATGTAATTGGATGAGCATTATTGTAGTTATGGCTACTAATGTTCTTGAGGGAAAGAGTTGGACGATAATTATGACATTGAATATTTATCGAGTGGACATCACCACCTAGGCATGACTTTTCTTTGGATGCCTTCCAAAGCTTTCTGTGTTTGGTTTGTGAACCTCTAATGAGCTGAATCCAGCTCATTTAATATTGCTCATATATTTTTGCAAAGGATTAAAATGCGGGAATTCAAGTTTGTAAATTGAGTTGCCTACTTACCAGCTGAGTGGTAAGTTTTCTTTGGCTCAGGGGTCATAGTTTGATTCCTGGCTGGCATTCCATTCCTGTGATAGGAATTTTAAATAAGTATTCTGTTGAAAAAAAAAAAAAACTGCAGTGCTCTTGTGAAATTTAGCATGGATTTGATCTCTGTTTATTTTTTTGTCTCTGAGGGTCAGGAAGAACTGGCCACCAAGTGTTTGATTTTCGTATTAACTTGGTGAATTTTGATTTATATGGTGATAATTTTATTTTTGAAATAAACTCATGACTGGGTCATTGAAGCATGACGTGATAATAGTATATTGTTTTAGTCTGTATTAACTGGAACTAGATTTGTGGTCTTTTACTTGCTGTTTCTCTCTCTCATCAGGCAAATACATGCCTAAACAGATTAGTCTTGCACGGTTCCCTAAAAACTAGTCTACTTGGGTTTTTATTGAGTTGAGAGGGGAAATGAATTTTCTATGCCTCTGCGGAGAACGTTCTGCCTCCAGGCTCCCGGAATTCAAACCTGGGGATGGTTAGCAGAAGCACATTGGTTGACTTCATCTAGTGCATAGCTACACAGATGTTTAATCCTTAAAGTTGCTGGAATTTGACTCTTTTGAGTTTTTAATTTATAGACATAGAGGTAGTCTTTACTGACAGGGATATGGATAAACAAGTGTTTTGTTTCATTTTTCTTGTCATCTGTGATCATAAATGTATACATAGACTCTTACCAACTTGCAAAGAAGAGTTTTATGTAAAATAACACTCAGGAAAAGTAGGCTATGGAAGGGGTGTGTGTGTGTGTCCCCACCTGGTTTCAGTGGTGCAGTCTGAGCTCTTCCTTGAGGTCTTGAGTTTGGGGTTGGCGTTTTTCACTGCTCTTACCTTGTTGTTGAAGTCTGATAGTATGGTGCCTGTTGGAATTATAAAATGGGGAAAGTGAAAGAAATCAAAACCAGACATGTAAGTTCAAGGGTGGTTCATCACAGGAAACTGTGACATTTTTAGTTTGTAAAACAATCTGTATTGTGAAGACCTTTACAACAAAACAAGGAATATGGTCATTGTTGAAAGTGACAAAATTAAATAGACATTAGTTATTTTTGTTATGATGACTCATCTGAACTTAGTACTTTAAGTTAAAGTAAAAACTGAATTAAAAACAAGTTCTTTTGAAGAGTACTTTAAAAATTTTATTTTATTGTATTTGTTCTTTTTAGATATACATGACAGTAGAATGTTTGTTGGCATGTTGCACCTACATGGAGTATAGCTTATTCTAATTAGGATCGTATTCTTTTGGTTATACACGATGTGGAGTTACCCTGGTTGTGTATTCAAATACAAGGCTAGGAAAGTTATGTCTGATGAATTCTACTGTCCTCTCCATTCCCTCTTCCTCCCTTCCCTTTGTCTAATCCAGTGGACTTCTGTTATTTCATTTAGCATGATATTCTCCCATCTGTCCACTTACCAGCAAATGCCATGATTTCATTTTTATTTATGGCCGAGTAATATTCCATGTGTATATATACCACATTTTCTTTATCTATTCATTTGTTGAAGGCCACCTAGGTTGGTTCCATAGCTTGGCTCTTATGAATTGAGCTGCTATAAACATTGATGTGTCTGTACCACTCTAGTATTCTGATTTTAAATCTTTGGGTATAGACTAAGGAGTGGGATAAGTGGATCATATGGTGGTTCCATCCCAAGTTTTCTGAGGAATCTCCATACTGCTTTCCATAATGGTTGCACCTGTTTGCAGTCCCACCAGCCATGTATAAGCGTACCTTTCCTCCCATATCCTCATCAACATTTTTTGTTACTTGTATTCTTTTTTTTTTTTTTTTTGGAGAGAGAGAGAGAGAGAGAGAGAGAGAGAGAATTTTAATATCTATTTTTTAGTTTTCGGCAGACACAACATCTTTGTTGGTATGTGGTGCTGAGGATCAAACCCGGGCCGCAAGCATGCCAGGCGAGAATGCTATCGCTTGAGCCACATCCCCAGCCCCTTACTTGTATTCTTGATAATTGCCATTCTGACTGGAGTGAGATGGAATCTAACTGTAGTTTTAATTGCATTTCTCTTAATTGCTAGAGAGTTTAACATTTTTTCCTTGTATTTTTTGACCATTTATATTTTGAAGAGGACTTTTAAAAGCAGTAGGTATTCTAGTGTGTGTCTATAATTTTTCTTCTGTATCCTTTGGCTGTATCTTTGCTGTGTGTGTATTTTTTTTTTTTTTCTTGGCACCAGGGATTGAACTCAGAGGCACTCAACCTGAGGCACATCCCCAGCCCTTTTCAATTTTGAGACAGGTTCTTGCTCAGTAGCACTTCATTAAGTTGCTGAGGCTGGCTTTGAACCTGTGATCCTCCTGCTTAAGCCTCTTGAGCTGCTGGGATTACAGGTGTGTGCTACCACGCCTGTCTTTGCTGTTTTTTGAGTGAAATATTTATTTCAGAACATAAGCATTTTATTTGGTACCATCTTCATAGCCAAAACACTTCTTCCAATGCAAATGTTTGTTTTGGCAGCGGATCTTTCTAAAAAGGAGACGAACATCACAATTGTTTGGCTAAAATAAATGTTTTCTTTGGGGTTATTAAGGTGCCTGAACAATTTCTAGGATTCTCACCTGTGTTATTTTATGTTTTTGGTCTATTCTGGGAAAAGTGGTTTTCTTTTGAATGTAATTCAAATCACGTTTTGATATAGTTGGAACAATATCTCTGAAAAGTAAGGGTGATTGGAGAGAGGAAAGTCCAGTTAGACCTAAAAATGTCAGTATTTTGGCATGAAATGTCTGTTTTAGACTCAATTTCTGAATCATAAACATGAAGCCAGAAGTCAGGACTAAATTTTGGTTTCATCTAAAAAAGAGCTTAGCCCTCCTGTTTTGAGGGAATAGGATGGAGTGTCACAGGCTGAGAAGGAAGACTGGCTTGGGGGAGGAGGAGGAGTGCTAAGTATCTGTTTTCCTTTCAGACTCTTAATTTTTTGATAGCTTCTGTATTCACTGGGATACCCACCTGTGTCTGTGTGCACATGAGCTCATACTCGTGTACATAAAACACAGTGTTCCTATGATGGTGGCATTCTTGTGTAATTAAATATATTTCAGGTGTATACAGATATACAACTAAATGAAATGAAGGTGATTATTTTGACCATTAAAATAGAGAAATGCTGTGAGATTTCATTAGCTATGTTATTTGCAGCATTTCAGGAATCTGCTGTCTACTGAGAGACTTGGAGCCAAACAGTTTTGCCTGTGCACCTGAAATGTTTGGAGTCCTTTCCGCTGATGGCACATTTGTATAAACAGTAGCCTTTTGTTGGCCACATTTTGTCTTGGTTTTTTCCGTTGTTCATCATTGAACAGGAAGGTATTTAAGGTTTACCAAATAAAACCACATTTACACCTCACATTTCTGCTTCCAAGAAGATAACAGATGCCACTAGCTTTGATGCCAAAGTTCCCTGTAGTTGGAGTTTTGTACCAAGAAAATATTTTTTTAAAGATTTGTAGATATGCTAAGTTTTATTTGTTCCTTAAAGTTTAAATTTCTAGAATTCTTAACTGGTTTTATTTACCTTTTATATTGTGGTTGGATTTAAACATATTTGAAGCATTTAGTGTAGCATTGTTTGTGGGGCTGAATGCTGTGTACCATCTTCAGGATACCCAGAATGGAGCTCACATTTTGAATTAAACACTGATTTTTAAATAATTAGCCCTTTTCCTGAAAGAAAGAAAGACAAGACAAGATCAGACTGTACTTGAAGGTTTAATGAGAAAATGTGAGATGATTTCACCTTTAGTTTGGAAAGCTGCTTTTGTATTAGGAAATTTATGTGGATACTCTTGCTTTTCCTGGAGCGTTACATTATTCTGGGTGTCCTGAAGATGATCCACAGCATGAGGTGCTCATTCTGTGCTGGGAAGTTTGTACTCTTTTCTCATAAATTTGGTTTCTACTATGTATTCTACATATATAGACTTCCACATAAAATATCTGTAAGCATTTCTATTATAGTTTATTTTTGAGATGTGAATCTTAAGGGCATATTTTAGGTAGTATTAGAATTACTTGAGTAATTTAAATAAATAAATTTTGCTTATTTGCTTTTTCCAGAGAAACACTAAGAATGATATTTTACTATTTATGTTAAAATATTAACAATTCAAATGAAGCTAACAATATAGACATCAGTAAAATCAACCAACTACATTCCTTCCACGTTCCCTGAAAACCAAACACTAAACAACATGATAAATGGTAAGTTAAAGCAATTAAAGTGTATCTTTGAGTATCGTACTGCTGAATGCTAGTTTCCTAGGGCACTTGAGACCTGCTCCCAGGTGCCCAGGGATCTTGATGTCAGTGCCATCTGACTGTGGAGGCCTTCTCTCCTTTCTGAAAGATTTGAATGTGGGAAGTGTGTGTATGACACAGGTGTCCCTTGCCTACCTGAAAAGCTCCAAACCGAACTTTTGGTCCCTAGATACTTGTCTACAACAGTGTGAGTTACCCAGCTTCCTAGTTTCTATGGAGAAGTGTGTTTATATACAAACCAGACCATATTCCAAAGAATTAGTCAATACCAATAAAGAGAGATGAATTTGGCTCAGAGTAAGAGTACCAAACCAACCAGCCAATGAAATTGGCTCTTCCAGGTTAGTCAAAGGTTAAGATCCAGATCCAGCTCTATAAAGCATTTAACATTTAGAAATGAAGTGAAACCAATGTTAATAGCAAAAATATGCAACTATTGGAATTCAATGCAAAAAACTGTCATTATTGAGGCAATTAGGTTTTACTTAATGCTCTGAGTCTTAGCAGAACCAGTCTCCCGTGGACAGCTAGCTGCAGTAGCTGGTCCCCTGGAGTTTAAGGACAAATGTCTTTTGGGAAGGGAACCTCTGTCTAGATGCCTCACAGAAAGGACAGCCAAACAGGGATGGATTCCCAGCACAAGCCACTTAGGACAGAGAACAGACCTGCAAGCAGTAGCTCTTGAAGTCTCAAAGTAAAGATTAGATATTCTTTTAAAATCAGTATCACAGTTTTTATTGATTCTAGAGAGACACAGGGGAAAAGGAAAGAGGGTAAATCATTGTTGGTTTTGTGACCTCAAGACACTTCCTTAAAATGTGAGGCCAGAAGGGGAGGCTTCCTTTTCTTTAATTAGCATATTACCTTGAAAGTTCCAGTACCGTTTTCATGTACCTAATAGACACTTGCCATCTGTCTTTGATGTTTAAGTCTTTGGAGGTTCTCCTCAGTGTCCTGGGCTTCATGAAGAAATGAGCCTTCCTCTTCCTGCCTGCGCATCCTGTGCCATTTGCCAGTGGTCATGGAGACTGCAGGATTCTTATTCTCCAAGAGCTGTCCAGATTTTGATGGTGAGGAAATCAGTGGACTGCCAGCTGGTGCTTCTTTCTTCATGGGGGTCTTGCTGATTTCTCCCCATTCTTCTTCCTCACTAGCTTCAGTAGTAAACTGAGGGAGACTGGTGACCTGTAGATGTTATTGGTCTTAGCCTTTGTGACATCATATGCGTCACAGCACACTTAGAGTAAGTCCAAGAGTTACAGGATGCTTTCCTGCCGCAATACAGTATGAAACAGAGAATGTAGTGGGGGCTCTGGGAGGATGCCAGCTTGACTCGGAAATCTACACTGCTGCTAAAAGCCACCAGAATTCAGAAATAAGCAACATGTGACGTGCTTTCTTCCGAATCAAAATCTGCTATGCTTTGTCTAGCTAATCAAATTTACGTCACCTTAGCATATCTAGGCTGCAAGAGAGGTTATGAATTTGATTTCTGAATTCTAGATTATGGAGGCAGAACTTTTTGGTTACTGTCTTTGTAGAAAACATAGAATTGTTCTTGACAGTTGAGTATTTCTCTTGTGTAAAAATTTCCCTCCCATGTCTCCTCTGTGGTCTCTCTGCCTCAACAAACGGCAGCTCCATCTTTCAGGTGCCCAGGCAAAAACTCCAGTTACCCTTTTTTCCAACCTTTGAATCTGTTAGCTGATCCCATTGATTCTTCCTTTAAAAGGCATGCAGAAGCAGGTACCTATCCCTGCCTTGGTGGCTCCTGCCCTGGCCCAAGCCCCGTCATCTCCTGTTTGCCTTGTCACCACGGGCTCTCACTGGACTTGCTACTCACCCTCACGAGCCAGCATCTGTTTTCAGTGTAGCAACCTGAGTAGTCCTTTCAGGGGTCTTTGCCAGACCCTGGCTGTCCTCCTGGGTCTCCCCATTTCACTCAGGCAGGGGTGGGGGGCTGCTTCACCACCTCTCCACCCTCTGTCCTGTCCTTCACCCTCTTTTTACCCTTCCCCAGGACCCTCTTCTTGCCTGCTGGGCAGGCCCTCACCCAAGACAGTCTTCTTTAACATGCCTTCTCCAACTTAAAAGAATCTGCGCACCCCTCTTTCCCTTGTCCCTATTTTATTCCCCCGTCCTGTGTGTTACCACTGAACTATATTGGTCTTCATTGTCTAATTCACCTCTTAGAACGCAAGCTCTGGGATTTGCCCCCACTGTAAGCCTGTCAGATGGAACTGACATTGAACTAACTCTGCAAACACTTGAAATAAATGAATGAAAGGATTTGCAGAGTTTTAGACTTTAGCCAGTGACATTTGTCCTGCACACTGCAAAAATTTCAGTATGTTTAATGGTGTGTCTGCACCTCGGATTAGCTGTGAGCTGGGATCTTCACCAGGCCCTTGTTTCCAGTGAAGTCTCTATGCCTCTGCTGCTCTGTCATAAAACCTGTTGATGACTGCGGGGCTGTGCTTTTAACTCTGCCTCGAGATTCCCAGTGAAGTTTTGATGCCCAGGAGACCGTGCAGACAGAGTGGTTCTCTGTCCTATTTCACTGTGTGCAGTGCTGTGTGTCCTTTACCTCTGTTACCACCCCCATTTGGTAGATTGGGAGCCTGCCACTTCACTTCATGGTGGGTCATATTTGTAGCATTCTGTCTTGTGCGGGTGGAATCCATCAGGTCGGAGCAGAGAGTCTGCAGTACGGTTGAATCAGATTTGGCTTGCACATCATGGGAGGTCAGATTTCTACCCCAGCGCTGATTGTTGACTGTGTGTATCAAGGACAGCCCCCCAAAAGGTTCCTGTGCCATTTGGACACTACAGACGACCCTCCCCCCCCTTTTCTGGTAGGAGTTTGCTGTCCTGGAGGAGAGAGTTCCTTCAGCATGGAGGGCAGAGCACATGTGTGGTGCAAGAATGGGGCTGAGAGAGAGGCGGCAAGCCCTCCTTGATAAGGGGCTAGTTCACATCCCGACCTGTGCAACCTACCCTGTGACGTTTCATCTCCCATGTAGTTCCTAGGTTGGGCTCACTGCCGCAGTCTGGCTGGGCACAAATCACTGAGCCTCCACAAAGCACTTGTATGTTCAAACAGGAAACTTTATTGCCTGAATTCCAACAGCACTCCATGCACACTCCCTGGGAACTCTCCCGAACACCACCCATGCCCATGCGGCTCCTCTCTCCGGCACCCCACACCAACCGGAACTCCCTCCACCGGGCTGCGCGCACTCACTCTCGAACTCAACGGGAACTCCAAAGTGGTCTATATACAATTGAAACAATCCAGCATCATCCTAATGGCTGCCTCTCAACCATTACTTCTGGCAAAATGCCAGGGGCCATTCCGACTTGGCTGTGGCTCTCAGCAGCTCACCATGCTTACCAGGCATTATTTTCAGTTTCTTTATGGGCCAGAGCATTTTTGAAAAGTTTAGCTTCTAGAAAGGTTGCAGACCAGGCTGTGCCAGGCCTGTCTGCAGGAGCAGAGGGCGTGGCTGCACCTGGAGTGGACTGCACTCAGGACGGCAGGAATGGGGAAGGTTTCTTTCCCAAGACTGGCCCTGTGTTCTTGGCTCTGGCAGAGGATTTGTGAGGGACAAACAATTTGCCCTTTTAAGGAAGTGCAGGAATTTAGTGCCTCAGTGTGGATGATGTTGCCACTGTCACCATCCGCATTGTGGTAGTGATATCTCCTCTCTTGGGCCTGATTTCTTATTTGTAAACAGGAAAGATAACAGGCTCTGTGCCTGGTCTTACTCTAAGCACCTCTACGCAGGCACACTCAGTTCTTGCGTTCTTCTATTATGGCCATTTTGCAAATAATAATAGTAGCTAATGTTTACGAAGGGCTTACTTAGCCTGTGTGCGGCTCTGTTTGACTTGGATTAACCCACTTGGTCTTCAGGGTGGATTGTTCACATCTCTGACCCAGATGAGGAAACTGAGCGGGGAGGGAGCCTGATGAGGCTGCTCAGATCCACGTGCTTACTGTGTAGTAGGGCAAGGATTTCATGTTTGTAGCACCTGAAACCTGAGCTCATGCTAGTGCTGATGTGTGGCTCTGGTGGAACCAGAATGCTTCTCAGCACTGAGGAGAATTCATTTGCGTTTTTAAATAATAAGATTGATAATAATTCAAGTAGCCTAATTTTGGCATCAAGTATTAGTTGCATGGAAAACCCTTTGTGACCTTTAACATGTTGAAAATTGAATATTATTCACTACTCTCCCACTTAGAGCAAGTTTTCTTTGAGAAGTTCTTGTAACATATATTAGCCATTTAAAAGTTCCCAGTCCAGCAGCATTTGTTAACATTCACAGCGCTGTGCATAGCACCGTCCTGGCACTTTGTGGCCCCTGACACCCCTTTTTCTTTCTGGGCATTGGGGACACTCTCACTCTCCAGTTAGAATGTTGTCATGTTGTCTTCATGGTGTTCATTTTTGTGGTTATCTTCTCTTTGTGGCAGGTACACCCATTTTATATTTATGGTGTTAAATACAAAGTTTTCTGTTAAAATGAAATTCTTTGAATTAAAGTGATTCCCTTTAGAGATAAACAGTTCGGACTGTAAGTTGTGTTTACTCACTTTTAGTTTAACTCGGTGATTAGAATATCTGCTGGGTACACTCTTTTGTATTAGTCACTGGGAAATATCAAGGTGACCCTAACCAGGTCTTGTTCCCAAAGACCTTGGAGGGGACATTCTATAGAGAGATAGTAGATTAATGAGTTCAGGTATAGGTCTTTATCCTTGTGTTATGGCAAACATGGAGGGACAGTTAGCTGGGTGGGATGATAAGGCAGACCTAGAGGAGGTGTTAGCCTGAATATGTGAAAGTTGATCTTTTGCTTTCAGGTGGATACCATTAACTTACACTTCCATTTGATTGGCTTTTGCTTTTGGTTCATTGAATTGAGGGACTAAAGGTCTTTGTTTGTTAACATGTTTGTCATAAGACATGTATTTATAACCCTAAGGGAGCTCAAATGCTCCTAGGTACTTAGGCTGGAGTGTGCGAAGTGCTGGGTAAAGGCTTGTAGAACTCACACTGGAGCAGCTCCAGCTGAGTGGGCTAGGTAAGAGGGCTTTTTGGAGGAGGTGGCATTAGACTTGGATCTCGTAGTAAGACTTGTGAATACCAGGGAGAGGAATATGCTCTGGGAAGGGGTGGTTCTTTTCATATAAATTAGCTTCTAAAGGTCTGTGAATTTTACAGAATTCTTTATCTACTAGTTTTGCACAAGGTTATGAAGGTAGAATCGAGTTCAGTGTTGTGTCTGTGTCCACACCCCCTTTCAGGGTGAAGGGGATCTAAAATTTTCCTTTTGCCCTATTCTGGTAGTCTGATTGGTCAACTTGGATAGTGAATTGCTGCCTAGAGTCTAGCTGGATATTTATTTATTTATTTAATTTATTTGGTGTGTGTGTGTGTTTTGGAAGAGAAACTGCCCCTCTATACTTTTGTCCAGCCATCCTCTATGTCCAGGAGGGGCCAATCAAAGCACAGTGAATATTCTTCACATTCACGGATGACTACCATCTTTTGAATAGCCTTTCTATTTTTGAGGAAATGCTCACATTTGAAAGCTCTGCCCCTGTAATTCTGAATTCAGAACTCAATTTTACAGCCTCTCTTACAGTGAGGATAAAATAAGTTGCGGTAGATTCTTTGGGTTAGCTTGACATTGGGCTGGGAAGCGCTTTGCATGTTGCTTATTTCCTGGGCAGAGGTGGAGTCCGCCTGCGGGCTCCCCCCTTTCTCTGACCAGCTGCACGTGTGGGAAGACATCCCTTAATTCTTGGGATTACTCTGGCCTCCTGAAAGCCACATCCTCTGTCTGTGTTCCCTCATTTTGATGGGGGTGCTTCCTTCAGTAGCTCTTTTGAGAGGGTGCAGGTGGGGCCGGAGTCCTGCCTTGGAGCCCTCTCACTGAGCGAGCCAGCAGTGGTGTGGAGAGTAGGAACCCCAGGTGGGCAGAGTTTCCCAAAGCCCTGTTGATAGATCTCAGGCACCTACTGTGCTCAAATGCTGAGAAGTTCAGGTCCTCAACTCTTTGTGTTACTCCTCCAACCCCTGCCCAACCCCTGGTGACTTTAAACACTTTTTAACTTTTTATTTCCCTGATTTCTAAAATGTTGCTGGAACCTGGAGTTGGTACTTTTCTTTTTGTAGACCCATCCAGTGTTAAACTCCGTTCTTGCTCTTTTGGATGTTGTATGGGGTAATTTTGGTAATTTTCTCATCTTTATTTTCTTCGTTCTGACTGTCTGGAAATTTATTTGTTGAATGTTATAAATCCTGGGCTGATCCTTTAATTTTTAAATTTTTGAAAATTTTATCCCTTTTCATTTGTTTATCTTTGTTGTAGTTTTTATTCTATTTCCTGGCAGATATTGTTTTTGTAGTTTCACTTATCAAAAAAAAAATTTGGTTTGCTAAAGTTTCTTCTTTTGTGTCATCTTAGTTTTATTTCATGAATATGATAGTTTATCTCACTGAAAATCAGTTTAGGTTTTTTTAAGGTATATGTTGAGGGGCTAGGGTTGTGGCTCTACTGTAGTGTGCTCGCCTAGCATGCATGAGGCACTGGGTTCGATCCTCTGCATCATACAGAAATAGAAATAGAAAAATAGAAATAGAAATAGATCTTGAGTCCACCTAAAACTAAAAAAAAAAAAATAATCTTTTTTAAAAACAATGATGTATGTCGTGGTCCATATTGTGTTCTTAATTCTACCTGTGTTCCCTGCTGGGGCTTTCTTGCAGTGACTTCTGTTTCTCCTTATGAGTGACCACCAAGTTCTAGGAACTGGTACAAGGTCCTGTGTCCTTGGGCACTTGTGTCCCCTGGTAGGCTGCATGGTGAGAGGATCTGGGTCATTTCATTTGAGGACCTGACTGTATTTCCCTCCCCAGTAACTCACTGTTGGCTCTTGGCGAGGACTTGGGAGCCTCTTGGGTGACCAAATGGGAAATGGTCTGATATACACATTGTCTTAGTTGACCCTCATCTTCCCTGTGCTCCTGGCCAGCTGCTCCAGGTGGTGTTTCTCTTCTGACTTCTGACAGGATTGGGGTGAGGGATGGAAAGGGGGATCTGAATTACTCCTTAGAGTTTTTATCCAGCCGCTGCCACCCTCTGGTCTTTGGGGTTCTGTGCTTTAATTAGCTTGCTTCTATCCCGTCACCTAGAACAGACTAAAACTTTAATTATCACTTGTCTATCTGCTTTTCTCCTTCCAAAAAAAATTTGAATTCTTATCTGCTACCATCTCACCTCATGTTTTCTTTGTCCTTATTAATTTATGCTTTTTAAAAATTATTTATCACTGTCATTTTAATGGAGTTCCATGAGAGAGTAGAGATAAACTTGAGTAT